CAGGTTGCAACCTTTTTTTATGGCAATGCCGGATTGTACTAATTTTTTTTACTAAACCTGTATGACTCTTTGATAGGCCAAAATATAATAATACTAATACTAATAATAATACTTGGGGGAAATATTTACTAGCACACATTTGAAAACACCTAATAAAAGTAAGGACCTAACAAAATATGTCTTCATTTTTAACCTCATGGCACTAGTTCACTAAAAAATGTCATTCTTGTGTCCAGAAATAATTAAGAATCAAACTTTCATCGCTGTTTTTATAAATGTTAAAAAACAAAAAAGGTTGTTTTACGTATTTATAACTAAATATGCCATCAGAAGATATACGAGATTGATGGGCTGAGGAGGAATAAATAATTATGTTGTTGACAGAATTAATAAAATAATCATCATCATCATCATCAGACTGCTTAGGTATATTTTTCTAAGTTATTGCCAATTCACCAAAGTGTTATATATTTATTTATTCATATTGATATTTAAATACATAGTTAGCACTTTTGTTGGATGCAAAGTGCCGTGGCTTCAGGTGATTCCGTTTCTAAGAAACAAATTAATTTTATTTTCACAATGGGATTACTTACTGTGTAGGCAATTAAAAGAAAATGGTGTTCGGGCATCTCTTTGAAATATAATCTGTAATCTTTTTCTTTATAATCAGAAGATTTTTTAATATTTGAAAGAAATTTCTTGTTATAATTTCTTAAAAATCTAGCATTAATTTTGTATGTTTAAAATTTCGCGTTAATTTTGTATGTTTAAAATTTCGCATTAGTTTTACATATTTAAAATTTAGAATTAATTAGATATGGATATAGATTAGAGATTGATATGGATTAGATATGGATATATTATTGAAATGGATATAAAATATTTTATAAAATTTATCAAATTATTCCACATACCAAGAGGAAGTCTTTCTGATAGTTGTAGAAACTATTGGAAAGAATTTCAATGTTTTGCAAAACTTTTTTGAAATAATTATTTTGATTACCACTGATATTTACTACAACCAAACAAATTGCTTTGTTTCCATAAAAATTGAAATGAAAGAATTTGAAAGAGAATTTCAAACACGTGAAAAATAGCACACATTAAATTACCAATGATTATTTCATTTCATTATTTAAGATACAAAATATACTCAATTGTTTATAATAAAATATTTGTATTCATTTCTTTGGTAGGAAATCTTTCAATTAGCGTGGTTAAACTTTAAAGAAACGAATATAAAAGATTTGTTTAAAGTTATGATTTCAAATTTGGAATTCGCTTGAAAGATTATTTTCTATTAAATCTGAAATAATCAACTGCCGAACATTCTTTTGGAGATAATTCAAAGAAATTAAAAAACAGAATCTTTTGTGTCTATCGTTTAATTGATAATGTTCCTGGCACATATTGCACATGTATTCGTCAATATTAAGAAAAAAAAAATTGTTTGAAAAAGCTACACATACTTGCATGCACGGATGTTTAACAAATACATATATTCTAATAAATTATATATAGTCATATACATCCGGACACAGACAGACACACAGATAAGCACCTATATATATATATATATATATATATATATATATATATATATATATATAGATAGATAGATAGATAGATAGATAGATGAAAAGATGGCTCAAAGCAAAATATATTTTATGCCCATATTTTGCTATATATATATATATATATATATATATATATAATTTTTATTTAAAATATAATTATAATTAAATAATAATAAAAATACTAAAAGAACTTTGGATTATTTACTGAGAGTTCATTCCTATTTTCTATATATTTTCACACACACACACACACAGATATATATATATATATATATATATATATATATATATATATATATATATATATATATATATATATATATATACATATATATATATTGAATTTGGATAAATTTGTAATTAAGTACTTTTCTGATTGATCTAAATTCAAACCATCGGATATATATATATATATATATATATATATATATATATATATATATATATATATATATAAAATATTTTAATTAAAAAATTAAATGAAGCAACATTTGCATTCCGGAATGCGCGTGCGCACAGATAAAAGACACTAATCCATTTCTGAATGCAACAAATTTAGAAAGTAGCGGGATTTTTTTTTTTTCTCTTTCATCAAAAATTTTTTGAGATTATTCTAAATTATCATTTTTTGCCGTGTCGTGAGGTTTTTCAATGTTTCAGTTTAAAATTTTAAATAGTCTTTTTAAAAAAGACTATACGCTATTCCTAGCAGCAATTATCATGATACCTTCAAGCAAATTAATCCTGGCATGTTAAAAGTTCATCTGAGGGCATAAAATTATACTATTATCGTAAAATGGCTACATTTTACGATACTAGTATAATTTTGTTTGTAAATTCTCTTCTCATTCTTTTGTGGCAGTTGTGGGAAATCTTTTTAAATAAAGAACATTTTTCCAATTTTTATAATTGCATCGAAAACGCGTATTTGAAAGGTTATTTTCAAATTAATTATTGTCGTTCTTTTGTTAATGACAAATTTATTTATGTTCATCGTTCTCTTTAAGTTCAAATTTTTGTCTGTGTGTTCGAGACAGTGTGTGGCATTTTTTTTTTAAGCTCTGTCCAGATAAGAAACAAGTGTGCAGCCTTCGGGCACGGGGCGTGGATAAATCACCCAAACCGTGGGTCGCAACCCATCTTCAGTTGAATTATTTTGAAGAAAAAAATATTTCTTCATCTAATTATTTATATTCTTTCTTCGACAGCTGTTTTGAAACTCTACTTTCGTCCATTTACCATTTGCTTCGAGTTGGAAATGTTTATTCAAAATATTTTTGGACAGGTATAAGAAACGCAATTTAATTTTTTTTAATTGTTTCGCAAATTTGTTTATTCAAAATCTCACTTTTTAATAATTTGATTTACTTAATTTAGGCAAGATAACATTTATCCATTACTTTTGTTTGTCATTTATTTAATGAAAAGATTTTAACAAAAATCATTATTATTTTTACAATCTGTTTATTGCGGAAGGTGGACGATATATTAACTTGGCTTTTAAACAGTAATTTCCAGTTTGTTTAAAAAAAGCATCATGTCTTTATAAATGATCAAAGTAGTTTGAATTTCTTACTGACACTTCTTTTTTATTGTTTTTTTTTTATTATTTTACTCGTGTAATCTCTTTGATTGGCTGAAGAAAGAAAAAACATGGTGTTTTATTTAATTAATTATAATATATATATATATATATATATATATATATATATATATATATATATATAATAATGATAGTAATAGTAATGGTAATAGAAGTCATTTTCAAATTAGAATCAATCCAGAAACTTCAGGCATTGTATCATTAATATATATAATTAAATACAACTTCATTTTTTCTCTTTCTTACTTTTTCTGTTACTCAAATAATGTGAAAATGTTGCTTATATTAATGTCTATTAAAATGGAATTCATGAAAAATTTGGATGCTTTTAGAATTTTTATAATAAAACTGGGATTTTATATAAACAAGATAAATATATTCATGAATATCATTACTGATTATCATCCTATATAATTTTTTTTTTTTTGCTTACAACCACAAATATTTCGGGCTGCTATCTAATGATATTTATTTATCTAACGATATTCATTTATCTAATGATATTTATATGCTCAAACGTCTCGTTATTTAATAAGAATTTCACTTTTATGATTAATCTGAAATCTATTTGGCTTATTAAAACCATGCGTGTTACGATATGCCTATGACTGCCAATAAAACACACCGTAATTTGCAGGAAGAAACTGCTTTGAAATTTATTCTTAAGATATTTAATTTAACACGAAGTAGTTTATTTTCCTTTCTATTTTTGGTTCTTTATTTAAATCCATAATTTTGAAATAAGTTCGTTTTGTACTCTTCATAATAAATTAAACAGTTCAAAGTAAAATATTTTATGAAGAGACAAAGATGTTATTTACAGTTATATTTGAGCTGACTTATTCTTATAAAATGCTTTTTCATAATTAAATTCCCAGTTTTTTTATTGTTCTTCAAATCTATCCGATATATATATATATATATATATATATATATATATATATATATATATATATGAAGTCAACACGTAGACGCGACAGACTGTTTCATGCTAGACGCAATCGTCAGGCATATGTATTTATACTTTATTTTCATAGATGTAATTATTTAAGTAAATGCTATTTATAATAAACAGCATTAATTACATAGACCGGCCTGAATGTCAGAGAAATTCCTTAGAAAATATTTGACTTCCTGTAGGAATCGAACCTGTATTCTACACTGAACCATCATTTGGCCTGACGTGTTATACCATTTAGCTACAGAGGAAGTGTCTGGTGAGCAAAGTCAAATTGTCAGACTTGTCCATTTCATTATATATAGAAGAAATTGTTTGAAAATATATATATATATATATATATATATATATATATATATATATATATATATATATATATATATATATATATATATATATATATATATATATATTAACCGTAAATATTTATTTATGATTCTTAATATTAGAAACTTACAACAGAAAGCAAGCAAAGAAAAATAAGAAAATAATTCACAAAATGTATTTTATGGATGATCAATATTTGATTAATAAAAAGAAACGTTCGTTAGCAAATTTTGATAGTAAATAGTATTATTATTTTTGAAGTCACTTCGTTATAAAAGGTTTCCCGTTTTTTTCCTATCCTCTGTCTCTCTCTTTCTCTCTCTCCCCTTTTCTATCTCTTTTTCTCTATAATTCTCTCTCCTTCTATGTATCCATACCTCTTTCTCTATATCGATTTCTCTCTCTTTTATCAGAATAGTAATGATAGAAACTTTAAACGGAAATTTTCTAAAAAGTTATAACAAAAATGAATATTGATAGAAAGAAAAACACTACTGAAAAATCTCTACTAAATCAAATAATGCCATATTTTTTATAAGACGACAAAGAAAAATATGTACGAGAAATTAAAGAATTGACAAGAAAAAAAATAAGAGGAAAGCGTAGTAGCTGCGGTCAAAATATAAAATATATATGTCAGACAAAAACGGAACAAATACGAGATGTTATGAAAGATACAAAAATGACCTTATATACCCGTGTATCAGATGACTTAATGTATAGCTCGACCCCTGACTTTTGCATTAATTTTAACCCGTCAAGAAAAAATATTACCTGTATGTAGTAGAACCGGTCACTGAAAATGCATGATTTTTAACCTTTAAAAAAGATACTTATGTATAGTGCGACACCCTATTTTTTTGCGAAAAAACTAATCATAAGAATTTATACTCACGTATATACGGTAAACAAAACATTCACGTAGAGAAAGAAAGAAGAAATTACGAAAGATGTGTATATCTATCTATCTATCTATCAGCCTGTTCATATCCTATCTATTTATCTATCTACCTATGTTCATGTATTTCGCGTACATACATAATCAACTTTAACAAGTGAAAACAAATAAGAGAGAATATTAAACAGAAAAAGAAAGAATGCTTAAAGGAAACGAAGAAAGTTAATGTGTTGTCTGTTTTGTCCTGCCCGCCTTTGCCGTCGCCGCTATTTGCCCCAATCGCTGTCTGTCAGCGAGTGTTTGCCACTAATTACGCGGTCAACTTTGTCAATTAGCAACAACGAACTAGGCGAAAGAAGGTAGGCGTAAACATGTTCCAAGTGAAATCCCACCCCATCGATTACATTCATTGCCCCATCCCGCTGCCTAACTTCGACATTTGCATTCATCTCTTAACAGCCACGACGACGATCTTCTCTCTTTCAATTTCAGATTTCCAAGCATTTGATTTTATTTCTATCATTTTCTTTTTCTTTCATTCTCGCCTTTTTATTCCTACTATTTTTATTAATGTTTTTAAACTTTCAATGATTAATTTTCAATTTTTACTCACTTTTCTAATTCAGTTTTTCCTTTCTTTCACTTGTAAAACCATTTTTCCGTCGTGTGTCTTATCTGTCTTCCTCACTTTTACTTTCACTTTTAGTTTAACTTTTAAATGTATTTTTCCCGTTTGATTCTCATTTTGATTGCTTTATTTCTACACTTTTGCTTCTCGTCTTTTATTTCTTGTATATTTTCATGTTTTTGATAAATTTAAAATGTTTACCTTTTAAATTTGATGTTGTTTTGCCTACAGTTGTTATTTCTTAACTTATTCTCGTTATTATATTTTTCTCTCGTTTTTCATTTATCTTTTCATTCTCTCTATCTCTATAATCTCGCTTCTTTACTACTACTTCTACTACTACTATTATTATTATTATTATTATTATTATTATTATTATTATTATTGTTATTATTCCTTACTAGGAATTCTTGTTTAATCATTATTACTCTCTTATACTCTTCTGCTTTTTCAGCCTTTTTATTTGTTTCTAGAATAAGTTATTTTTTGTTATGCTATTTTTTTTTATTAAGTCAGCATTTTCACCAAAGTTGATCAAAGATGTTTTATTTACTTTTTATTGGAGGGTTCTCTGTACACAATTTACCATTTATTTATGGATTTATTTCTTTCGCCTTCTTTCACTCTGTTGGTCAGAATCCGCATCTCTCCCCGCCTTCACTCTCTCTCTCTCTCTCTCTCTCTCTCTCCACTATTTCTTTTCTCACTTTACCAGACTTTTACCTTGTGTATCACCTTTTACCAGTGTCATTCTACACACACTTCAGTATCTCTTTAATGTTTTCTTAAAACAGAATGAAGCTTTTTTTCCCTTGCTCGATATTTTATGTGGAACATTTTTACCGATATTGAAAAGTCAAAGGTTAAACAAGCACATCTTTTGGAAGCAGGATTCTGATCCATTTTTTTTTTTTTTGCTTCTTTTCCTCCCCCATTTTCTATTCTTCTCTACTGTTTTCCATTTCTTTCTCTTATCCAACATCAATGCCACCTTTTTTAAATTCCTACTTTGTAATTTCATTAACTTTTATAAAACTTATAGTACATAATACATTATTCTAATGACCTCTGGTTCGAAACTCTGACTTGATTCAATAGTATATTGTAGTATATTTTTCGTTTTTGTTTTTCTTCTCGAGGTTTTTCCAACCCTCGACTTCTTCCCCTAAAGAACGCAGTTGGTGGGTGCTAGAAAGTAAAGATGAGGATAGAGAAAACTCTCTTAGACAGTTTTTTTTTCTCTTGATTTTCTGGCATTTAAGATTGAACTGCAAAGCTTCCTACCATCAGTCAACTGCTCCCACCGTAGGGCCTAACTGCCCACAACACAAAAGTAATAATACGCCTGCTGTTTTAGTCTAATAATAAATCACCAAACTGGACACTTTTATTTTATTTTATTTATTTTTATTTTTTTTATTTATTTTTTTTTTTTTTTGGTTTTCCTGGGCCAACACTTGATTCCAGCATTATCTCTTATGGTCAGTATTAGAACTGAGGATAAAA